CCCCTCCCCACCTCCGCCCCTGCTCCTCTGTACCCGGGGCAGAGCTCGCTGAAGGGAGCAGGGTGGCCCTGCTGTGTAACCCCGGGGCAGCAGGGAGGGGAAGCGAAGCCTGGCACAACAGCCAGGTTTCTTCAGAAAAAGGCCCAAAAAGGACCAACTGGAGTTGCCCGTGAGCTGTGGAACATCCTCGGGGTGCTGGTGAACCTGAGCCCCAAGGCACACAGCCGTGACAGCTCTGCCTTGCCCGGCCTTGCAGCTCGGCCAAACGTCCGCAATCCCCCCCTAACACTTTGGTTGTCACGGCCCAGTGGCAGGCAGTGCCTGTCCGAGGGCCAGCAGCGTGGCTGACCAAATCCACCCCCACGAGGGCAACTGCCTCCCAGCAGTGCCCGCCGGGTGGCCAGTGGCACTCGCCCTGAGGGATGGAGGCCAGACAAACTGTGGCTTCACAGCCCGTAGGGATGGATTTCACACTTTGAACACGGAGATTGCTTTTAAAGAGAAGGACAGTTCCTCAGCTGAGAACTGGGATTATTTATTGTTTGTTTTCCTCCCCCATGTGGAGGGCACAGCGGCCTCCTGCGAGGACGGACACAGCCATCCCTGGGGCAGTGCGTGGGGATGCCGCTGCCTCAGTCTGACAGAGATGAAGTGTTGTAGGACGCTTTCTTCAGGGTCTCCAGGAAGAACTGCTCATCCTCTAAGAAATCGCGGTCCTGAGAAGAGAGGGATGGATGGGGTGGATATCAGTGTGCCACAGAAACAGGGTCACAGTCCAGGGTGTCGCTCATGAGTGAGGAAGGTATCCCAAACCCTCCTTCATGTAGTGAGCAGTGGGCAGGTACCCATCCGTCATACCCTCTGGGGTGTATGGGCTCTCCCCCGGAGCCCATAACCTCACACTCTGAGCGAGACCCACAGAGGAAGCCTCAAAGAGCATCCCCACCTGGGGAAGGACCCAGCAGGGAAGCAGGGGGCTGACGGGAAAGGCTGGGGGACACCATGAAGTCAGAGTCCAGCAGAGCTGGCTTCTCCCATCCAGGGATGGGGTGAGGAGAGGGGCAACCCCATCGAGCCAAGAACGATGTCCACCTCAGGTTGGACATCGAGCCAACCTGAGACAAGCTGTGAGGATCCACCCGTCCTTGCTTCTGGTATCACCCCTCTAGGTGCCCATGGCTTCTGCAAGCCCAGCCCAGCGGCTCAGTAATGATCTTAGGAGACACCCCACCCTGTGGCTATCAGGCCCGAATCAGGCTTCACCCAGCCCTGCTCCCACCCAGCTGGTTCGAAGCCCCTTCCAGCCCCGATCTCTCCACAGCCTCACCTGCTGGGCCCTGTGTTTCAGCAGCAGCAGTTTGGCATAGAGCTCCGTGGGGCCGGCCATGGCCAGGGTTTCCCCGCTATCCCCCAGGCTGTGCCGAGGGAGCACTCTGATGGGAGGCAGAAAGTCTGGAACAAGAGCCCGAGCATGTGGTGCCGCCACCGTTAGAGGAACTGCAGATGGAGACAACAGAGCATCCCTTTTTTTGCTGCCTGCATGTCCCTGCAGCAGGGTCCTCCCCAGCCTCCCAGGGCAAACGGGCTTTAACCCACCTATCTCTCTCTTCCTGAGCCTTCTACCCCCTCCTAGCACTGCCCTGGCTCAGAGAGCTCTGCCGAGCTCCTTCAGAGGACAAGGAGGCCAACACCAACTCACATCTGTAGTTTATATACAGGGCAACGAAAACAGCCCCCAGGAACATCCCAAGCCTCCTGAGAAGTGGAATACAAGTGCAGCTGCCCCCCCAGCACATCCCTTCCCATCAGCAGCATGCAGGAAGCCTTACACAGCATGCTGGAGAGGCCTTCCGTAGGGGCACTGAGGTCCTGGTCTGTGGTCAGCGGCATCACGGGGTTGTTGGGCAGCTCCTCACGTAGCTGTTCGAGCTGTCTCCTCTGGTGAGCCATGCTCAGCCGCTCCTGCCCCATCCCCAGGAGAAAGAGAGAGAAGCTGTTGGCAAAGGTTCAGGTCCTTGGCATGGCAGCCCCAGACTGAGAAGGGAAGGTGAGGGGGTATTTACCTGATGCAGACGCTGTTCCTGCTGCTTCAGCTGCTCCAGGTGCTGCTGCATGACCTGCAGCTTGGTCTGGTGCTCAGACTCCATCCTGTGTGCCTCCCGCAGGGCTTGCTCCCCTTCCTCATACTTCTGGGACGAGAGCTGCAAGGCAGAGCGACTGGGGAGACCGGGGACAGGGCTCCTTTGTGCATCCCCTTATTCCCCTCCCAGGACAGGATCAGGATTCGTGACTTCAGGAGGGGTGTGAAACCCTGGCTTTGCTGCTGGCCCACGTACAGCTGTGAACTGCAGCGCAGATGCTCCGCTTACCTTGGTCATGCTTTTAATCTCCTCCTCCCGCTGCCGGATGCGCAGCACGGCCCCGTTCACCTTCTCCTTCTCCAGCCTCAGCTCCTGCCAGGCCTCGTCCAGCAGCTCCCTGTCCTTTGCCAGCTGCTCCTCCTTGGCTTTCAGCTCACGGCCCCGGATCTTCAGCTCTGCCTGCTCCTAGGATGGGCACAGGGGAAACCGATGCACTACCTGCCCTGTCCTGGACACTGTCTCAGGTCTTCCCAAGCGATGGGAGAGATTTGCCCCTGTTGAGCTCCTCATGTGTGCCAGTTTGGGGTGCAGAGCAACACCACCAGGTGCTCAAGCAGTGCCTTCATCCACCTACCCTTGGGGACCAGGGCTGGCAGAGCTGGGATTGTACAGACACACACACATGCACACACACTCCTCCCTCAGAAAGGATGGAGCCCCTCACCATGTTGCACACCCTAAAACACACTCAAGGCACGGCAGTTTGTCAGCAGTAGAAATATCCAGCCTGAATGGTTATTTTCCACCCTGGTAGCCCTTAAAAATGCAGCTCTGTTGCACTGTCTGTGCCACATATCCCCTCTGGACAACCGCAGGGGGGCACAGAACTGGCTCTGGACACGTCCCCATGGCACAGGGAGGTTTTGTCTAACCCACCATGGGGATTTCCTCTTACCAGACTTACAACGGAGGCAGCTGTGCCTGGTCTGGCTGCCCAAACTCCTCACAGGTAAAGGGGAGAGACAGAGGTGACTGATGCTTCAGTCAACATCTAAAACAGGCTGGTGCAGGCTGTTCCTGGAACAGCCTGATTCTCACCACCCTGAGTGACGTCTGTCAAACACCTGAAGGCAGCTCTGAAGGTCTCCCCTGTGGGCAGGACCCATCTGTGAGCCTGCCAGGCGGTGCTGGAGGCCACGGGAAGGGGCTCCGCTGCAGTACCTTGGCCAGGCTCATGATGGTGCCCTCTCTCTGGGAGTCCATCTGCAAGGCTCGGTCCATGTTGCGCTCCATCCGCTCCTTGCTCAGCTGCTGCTGGGTGTGAAATTCAGCCCACTCGGCCGCCAGCTTCCGTCGCTCCTCCGAGCACTTCTGCATCACCAACTTCTGCTCCTCCAGCAAAGCGCTCTGGAGAGCATCGCAAGAGAGGGAGAGAGAAAGCACTAAGTCCCATTCGCCGTAGGATTTTTCTCCTTTAACCCATCTCTGCCACTAAACCCCACGCATCTAGAGGCTGGTTCAAACCCATGGCCTGACGTGAACCCTGCATGGAGAGCTCTGGCCCCACACTCCTCGAGAACCAGCATGAATCATGCATGCACACAGCAGCCTCGTGCATCCGCGTGCCAGAGGGCTGGTCTGACTGCGATTCACCGTGCGACCGGGTGTGGGATTGAGGAGGCAGAGGAAGGATGCTGCAGCCCAGCACTCTGTCCTTTCCTCCACTACACACCGCAGCGCAGCCCCAGTCAGACTCACGGGACATGTGAAAAGCACCTGGAGATGTCCGCCCCACCTCACCTTCGCCCTCTCCAGCTCTGCTCGCTCCATGGAGAGCTGCTGGGTCATGACTCGCCGCCGTTCCTCCAGCGAGTGCTGCAGCGATTCCACTTTGGATTGCTCTGCTGTTGCTCTCCATCGCTCCTGGGTTCGGACACAGAGGAGAGACAGATGCCGTTCACAGGCTCCAGGCCAGGCACCTCCATTGGGCAAGACATACGCCCCGTAACCAGACAGGAGGGCTGACCCGGGCAGAGGACATAGCGTGGTCTCACCTGCTCCAGCAGCCGAGTCTGCTCGCCCAGCCTGGCCTCCATTTTAGCGATCACCTCCTGGAGTCGGTTCCGCTCCTCCTCCATGTCCCTCTGCTGCTGCGACAACCTGTCCTGGAGCACTGGGGAGAGGCAGCAGCAGGGCCATGAGCAGCATGAGGTGGGAAGCCCCCCTCTGTCCACACCATATTCACAGAAAAACTGCATGTGTTTGTGCTCATCACCTTCTGCACATCCCCAGGACACCGTTTTGTAAAGGGGAGACCCTGAGATGTCCAGTGACCAACACAGGCAAGGCTTTGCCAGCCTCAGCTCCCAGCCTCTGGCTGACTCGGAGCAACTTCTCCCTGTTTTCTGGGTGTCCCCAGCCCTGGTGGGGACCCCGCTGCCTTTTCGGCGCAGAGGAATGGCAGACGTACCCTTGAGCTGCTTGTCCCG